AGGTGCTCCAGTTACTACAGTAACATACCAGCCTTAATTGTTATGATATATAACTAAGTGTTTTTACAACGTTCCTGTCATCGCAATTCAATATTTTAATATGGTTTTTTTAAACCTGCATGTCAGTATGACAATTGACATCTTAAAATCAAAAACTAAAACTAAATCTTATCTAAGTATAAAGGGAATTATTCGTTTCAATTGAGCATTTAAAAGGAACACCTGCTCTAACAGGCAGTATTGAAGATTTGGAATTTTCATAATTTACCTGCAGAGTTCTGTCATAATGTAGAAATTTTTCAATTTAGCAATCAAACCTTCATGCAAAACACTGTCGAATGCTTTTTCTATGTCTAAAAGAGCAACTCCATTTGAGCAGCCTTCAGATTTATTTGAGCGAATTAAATTTTGATAATTCTTAGGAGTTGATGGATAGTTGAATCATGGCTAGTCATCTGTAAAAATCGAGCTCGTATTGAAGCATCCGAGTTTGTGATCAAAATAGGATTTTGAGTTTTTTCAATTTTTTTTTGAGTTTCCAAAAGGGTTTCGAACTTGGGTCTAATTTCGAAACATTATTTTCAAAAGTTTTGTTCCTCATGGCAGAGAGTCGCCTTTTTATTTGTTATTGCAAATCCCGCCAGATAACTCTCATGGCACGATCACGTGTTCTTTGATATTGCCTCCTACGGACATTTTTCAGATGGATCAAGAGCAAAAGATCATCGTCTATTATAATTGAATCGAATTTAACCTCGCAACTACAGAAGTAGTCAGAGATTCAAGAGCATTATTAATTTCATCTTTGGTTTGCAAAGGAATGTTTGGATCGAAGCTGTATTCCATAAATGTCCGATATTGCTTCAAATCAGCTATATGGTAATTGAAAGTAGAGCTGTTGGGATTAGAAATTATTTCTTGGGACATTTCAAAAGTTACTGGAAGGTGATGAGAACCGAAGTCAGCATGGGTAACCAATTGGTTACAAAATTAACATGAATCAGTTAAGACCAAATCAAAAGTTGAGGGATTTCTCGCTGAAGAAAAGCATGTTGGGCTGTTTGGATACTGAATAGTGTAATAACCTGCAGAACAATCATCAAACATAATATTACCATTGGAATTGCTTTGAGCGTTATTCTATGAGCGATGTTGACCAATAATAAAGAATGACGGCTAAATTTCTGACGATTATCCTGAGAAAATTCTATTGATGGATTACGCATTGGAATGTCAAATGTCAACTATAAAAGAAAGTTGTCCAAAACTTTGGTTTCTAATGAAGAAATAATTTGATGTTTGATACGTCTATGAACAATGATGGCAACGCCACCACAGTGTGCATCAAGACGATCATTTCCATAAATGAAATAAATTGCCAACCTTTTAACCTTATGGTCAGGGTTAAGGAACGTTTCAGTTATAACGGAAATATGCACTTTATGAACTCTCAAAAAGATTAATAACTTGTCCTCATTATCTTAAAGAGGTCAAGCATTCCAATTCAAAATATTTAATGATTTAAAATCCATTACTTAATTTCAAAGTCATGACGATATTGTTCGCAAATTGAACTACAGTTTGTATAGCATCAAACATGGAGTTAGTTTTCAAAATATCAAAAATCATGTCAATTACAGATTTCTGTAAAAAATCCATTTTAGGAGCAGTAAGTCAAAATCATCAAAATTACCGTTAGAATTATGTTATCTTGAACTTTGATTTCAACCAGCTGCATAGCAGCATTTACTCATTGAATATTGCAGCAAGGGGAGCAGGTTTAGATGAAGAATTTGATGCAGGGGTGATTTTTGTACCTCCGGGTAAGAATGTAGCATTTGTTCCTCACTGACCGTTTTTAACAGCAGAGGAATTTGTACCTGGTCGAGAACGTGGAGCCTCCTACCCGGCACTTAGAACGAGATTGTAGGATCGCTTTGCGAGTCTTACATTTCCAAAAATTGGATTTATGGTTTTTACCATTAACATTTTTTTAGGATCTTTCTTCAAATGACAGTCGTCCTTTGCATGAGAGGAATCTCCACAATTCATGCATTTTGCTGGCATGTAGCAATTTTTTGTGCCGAGACCCCATCCATGGCACTGGGTGACGTTTTGGAAATTTCCTCCAGTCTTCCTGAAGTGTTCCCACTTCACACGGGCATGGAGCATAAGGCTAGCTTTTTTCCAAGACCTTAAGGTTATTTAGTAAACTAAATAAAAATTATTAGAAATCCCTTTGCGCCAATCTCCAGGACGGGATTTCATTCTCAATTTTATTACTTGGACAGGCTCAACTCCAAGTAATTTTATCTTTGATCTAATCCAGGGATTCACCACTAGACAGACCTTTCAAAACAACCTTGAACACACGTTCAGTTTTGGTGTCGTAAGTACAAAATGTGTGTTGCTTCTCAATAAGGTACTTGAGAAGACATTTGAATCCGTCCAAGGTTTCAGCCAATACACGGCATTCATTGCGACGCCCAATTTGAAGTTCAAACGATCTTTGCGAAGAGCATGGAAATCGGAAGTGGTTACATCAATAGCTGGAACCTTTTCCTTTTTGACATTTAGCCGGGAATGTTTGATGGAATTTTTCCTGCATGATGGATCATTCTCATCATCCGTAAGCACATCAAATTGATTGCTCAATTGAATTTCATCAGCACGGGGATCAAGCGATTTCCTTTTTCTTTTGCGCTTAGGCGCCATGGCGGCAGAACCAAGTTTCTCCAAATCGATTTCCAAGCAGAATAACTATAAGAATCCGATGGATCGAAGAGCAATTTTCCAAGTCATTTCTAAGCTGTCGTGTTTCATTTGAGAGAAACTTTGAGCGATGCGATATGGATTATAGAATAGTTGGACATCTTAAGAACGATACCTGATTCTGAAATCTTGAAAAATCATACTTATTTTTCAAGGTGATCACTTTGACGTCTTTTGAATAATCTCTGAGCAACCTGCCATCCGAGAGACTATCTGAGAGATGTGATTTGAAATGTTGGGCAGATGAAAATCTTCAAAATTATTGCTGAAGTCTTTAACAAATAACCTGAGATTTTTTTTAGAAATTTCTAATCACTTGGAGTTTTTTTGAAATAATTTCCGAGCATTTGAGAGAATATCCGGGAGATGCAACATGAGTTGCTGAGCAGTTGAGGATCTTCAGTACGATATCTGATCAAATTTAATTTTAAACAAGGATAATTTAGAGATCTATGATCACTTGGTTTTTTGAATAATTTCTGAGCAACTTGTATCTTGAAAAATACATGGGATATATAATTTGGATTGGCAGTGTAGTTTTGGAGGTCTTTGATCAGGTACTATGACAATTTACGTATTAAAAAAATAAATAAACGATTTGTGTTTAAGTTTAATACGTCAACCTATAGCTCTCAATCTTTATTTAACTAGTAAAATGTTACATTATGATTAAATTGTACACGTTTTTCGAAAACTCATCCTTCATTAATAGGTACACGGTACCAATAGTTGTACTGTCGTTATACGCATAACTGTCCCATGTTCTATGCAATCCTTATGTACCGTGGGACTCTTATGCGTATAACGGCAGTGTAGTAGTAACTAACTTTGGCTCCTATAATAGTGTGTTTCACTTATACATTTTTGCCAAAACATCAGCCTTGTACATTCCATAAGACAAACTACATAGGTGCTATAAGAGGTATGTGTGACCGCTTATGCATTTCATTTGCCACATGGGGCCTTATTACGGGTGTCACTACACGGTGATAAGGGAGTGATATTCAGAATAAGAGCAGTTAATGGCGTACAGATCAAATGGGAATCACTTCACCGTGATGACAAGTGACAAGTTTTCACCGTGAAGTGACATCCATAATATGCCCCATGATCTTCATTAACTTTTTGCAAGGCGTCTGCTTATTAATTGACTAATACATTTTATGAATAATCAGCAATAGAAATTTGCCAAAAGGTATAAGGAGATTTCTATCCGTGTAGGTACACCACTTTCACTGGATCACCTACCGAGTTATCAAAATTGAAATCGACCCTATTTTATCTCAACTCATCCATCATCGCATTATTTGACACGTCGTTCAATTCAATCAGGTAAGGAACAGCTGAACCCTTTCTTCAGTTACTGTGCCTATGAACCGAACCGCTCTGCACTGTGGGCGTTCCAATCGAAATATTTCGTTTGAAAAGGTGTAACTGAATATGCTAATCAACCGTTGCTTACCTGTTTGAGGTTAACTCTCAGAAGTAAACAAATCCACCACACAGTGACGAAGGTGCGCACTTGGTTCAAATTTCGTAATCGCTTCTCGATCTATCCGAAGACTCCGAGAAATTGAAAAAAAAAAATGCGTACCGTACACCGGAGAAGATAAATTATTGAATTCGCCTTCACAGGGGACAGCTTATTCCACAGTGGTCTCAATAGCAAACGCAAGAATACAACGCACCTATTCGGAGATGTGGACCCGAAAAAGGCCAACCGGTGCATCCTCTTGCAGCTCAGACGACCAACAACGACCGGATCGGTTGCAAAAGAAATCTTTATTTGCTCTTTAGCCTCTCTGTTGGTCTTCTGAGCTGGTCTCATCATCGCTCGTCGTCATGCGGTAAAAACCATCTCGGTTCTAGGCTGAAGTGCGTCGGAGCGAAAAGATGTGACCATAATTAATTGATTCTGTAGTCGTCGTCGTCGTCGTCGTTGTCGCAAGAGTGGCTGACCCATGAACTCGCTTTAGCTCGTTGCGATGGCAAGCCCAAAGATGCGAAACGAGTTTTTTTTTTCTCCAAAGAAGTTGACTTTTCTTTGTGAGGGTAACCCGAGCGATGACTCCGACACGATGATGTTCTTTTGCTGGCAAATAAACAGACTGGCAAAGGTCAAGATTGTCATCTGTTTCGGTCGTCCAGTGATGGATAGGCTGATTAAATTCACGGTTGAATTAGAAGGCATTTATAATTTGGATCTTCAATTATGCTTTCCCTTACAGGTAGCCCAGGGCGAGTACTCCTACACGGCACCGGATGGCCAGCTGATCCGGGTGCAGTACATAGCCGACGAGAACGGATTCCAACCGATCGGAGATCATCTTCCCACGCCACCGCCCATCCCACCAGCAATCCAGCGAGCACTGGAATACCTCGCCAGCCAACCACCAAGTAACGACGTCTCACGGAGGTTCTAAACCTAGTTGCAAAGTGTTATATCAATCACAGTCACGATTTCTTTCTATATTACACCATTTCATTCCTCGTGGCTACATTTCTCTCGATCTGTTTAAGATGCTATCGAACGATTCAAGTGTGAAAATTACCTGTAAGTTAACAATAAATCGAACCAAAATTGAGAAGTGAGGTCAAGAATCTTCGAACATTTCCATCATCCAGCAAATGGATTCCCATGAGACTAAAGGGTGTAGCGCGGAATTGTGCCACGGGGTGACCTTCTCTTTAAATGTCAAATTCATGATGCATTCCACATGGTTGGGAAAAAAAAATTCGTCGTCTTCACTCGATTATCATGTGTGTGAAAAAGGTAGGTACCTACCTACATCACGTTGTCCAACAGAGAATTTAGCCAACACCCGCTGGTGCAGCTGAAACAGTCGAACCATCCATAAGCCGGGATTCGGTCGTGTCACGCGCTGTCGTCATTATCGAGCTAGGACATCGAACATGTGCTGTTAATTATGCTGCAATCTGATTCACCTTCATTGCTATTACGACCATGCGGAATCCGTACGCCTGTCCTTAACCAAAATTGTTAAGTAATGTGCTTAGGCTTTATTCATAGACCGAAATAGGAATCGATGCCACCACTTCGAGTATGGCCTTACTTTCTAGCGACGCTTTTACAGACTATGCTACGGGAGACCACCTGTGATGCTAATCCATCTCTACTAGGTGAATGTGATTTGAGGCTGATCAATTTTATCACTAGGAAAACCTGAATTTGAACAATACGACCAGTGAATAGGGTTATTTTGAACGTTAAAACATTGATGCTGGAAGATCCAGATGGTTTTCAAATATGAGCCGTGAGCACTAATTTAAGAATTGCAAAATTTGCCTTTGTCGTCGGCAGAAGGCCTCTATATCTATAGATGATCTATAATTATTTCCATATAGTATTTAAAAACTTAAAGAACGCCCAAGAAACATCGCAGATTTAATCATAATTTTAATGCATTATTCTTGTCTAAATTTTGGTCTACAAGATTGTAAGAAAACCTAAATTGTTACTTGGGCACCCTAACTAAAAACACATATTATCACGAGCAAATATTCATGGATCATGGATCTAAATCGACCGACTCCGCTCCGACTCCGCTCCGACTCCAACTCTGGCTCCGATTCGAAGAAAATAAAAAGGTTCTTCAACACATTTTGGTTGATTGAGTATTTGAGAAAATATTGAAAACATTTCAAAGGGATTAAACATTTTTTGAAAGAAAATAAATTTAATAAACAAATTGAATGTAAATATAGTTATTCATGTTACGTATTGTGAGAAATCATAAGAATACATTTGAGTAAGAATGTTCTAAACTTTGAAGCGATTCATGTTTGCTGATAATCAGCAAATCCAAACTAGACCTGTGTGCAACCAGGCCACAACACCGCCGCCGACACATTTTCACACGCCACTGTGATGTCCCCATTTGCAGCTGCGCACGCAAAACCAAGCTTTTCATCGCCAACAAAATGATGGACTTGGCCGGCTCCGGTGGTGTAGTGGTAAGCGTGACTGCTTTCTAACACCTCGATGGGTCTGGGTTCAATCCCAGCCGAGGTCGGTGGGATTTTTCTGAGGCATAAAAATCTCTGGTCACGTCTTCCTTCGGAAGGGAAGTAAAGCCGTTGGTCCCGGCCCATGTGTGTTGAATGGGTGCGATATCCTACGCAGGAGTGGAAGCTGCCTTCCTGCACATTCGATTGACTTCAATGGATGGCAATCGATGTCCGTCGGTGATTGGCACCAGATTGCGGAACAGAGACCGACGTTAAATAAAGGAAAGACAAAAATGATGGACTCGACACTGTAGAAGTAAGAGTGCCCGGAAAAATGTATACTGTCTTTCATTAAGGCTCACAAAGGTCCTGTGAAGTTCTTGCCAAATTTGGCAAGCTGCCACTACAGCCAGGAGGTGCTACAGTCGTACCGAGACAATAAGGTGGATTTCATTGTCAGCTGCCGCCGCCGAAGCTAAAACAGTGGCGTGGAAGCCGCCTAATCCAAAAACATAAAACAATCAATTATAAAGACAAAACGCTTGCTACTACTACCAAAAACAACTCTTTTTTTTGTAATATAGCTTCTGTTGGCGCGAGAATTAGGAGCGCTACCCTATTCGTTGCAACCGCAACCTATTGAATTATTTGCCTTGCACGGACAGGGTCAATCAACTAACACATTACTCAACAATAAAATGTGTGTATCTCTCCCTTACCGTATTGTAAAGGGAATCTTCTGGGCCTTCTGCCTTTTGTAGTAATGGGTTATATAAACCCCACACTGAAGAGAAAATATATAGCAAGTGTTGAATTGTTAGAAGTAGCACGTCGTTTTTTTATCCCGTTTTCTGAAAGTTTCCCGGTAGTTTGTCCGCCTCTTCTTGTGATTTTCCGCGCAGTTTTTTTGGACCTCACGCTAACATATGGTCCTTCGAACCGGATAGCGAACATTTCGCCGCGAACCGAGTATTCTGTGACCACTAGTGCCCGTGAATTGGCCCCGTCGCCGCCTACTGGCCCCGAGTGCTTCTGCCGATCGGCATCTCAGTGGAGCAGAAACAAAAGGTGTGAGCAGTGTTAAAGTACCAGTTACTTTTTGAACAATAAGTGCGCGAAATCCACAAAGATGGATAAACTCGTCCGCGAACGAAAATCGCTCGAACCGCGATTAAAACGCATTTCGGATACAGTGGACAAAATTAGCCTAGAAACGGTTGAAGAAATCGATATTCAAATCGAGCTGGACGCTTTGAGTGAGGTTTGGGCAGCCTTTTGTTCCGTGCATAAGAAGATTTTGGATGTGAGTGAGGATGACAAAGCCTATGATGATGCGGTGCAACGTCAGGGGAAATTTGAAGCGTGCTACATCGCACTGAAGAACCGTTTATTGAAAACTCTAAAAGTGATGAAAGATCGCGATAGTGCTACTGCTCAACCGATCCCGTCACATGACGTCATCAGGCAGCTCGCCGACCAACAGGCTGAGTTTTTACGAATAATGTCCACTAACATGGCCGCCACTTCCACCACTTCTTCCGTCGTCCGCAATAACGCCGCTGTATCCCCTCTCTCGGACCTCAAGTTACCGAGGATGAACATGCCTGTCTTCAGTGGTAATTTTCTTGAGTGGCAGTCTTTTTATGACTTGTTCGACAGTTTGGTTCACCAAAATCCGATGCTGAAGGACAGCCAAAAGCTGTACTTTTTGAAAATGAATCTCGCTGGTGAGGCAGCGTCGTTGATTTCGCATCTGAAAATCAAGGATGCCAATTACCGATCTGCCCTGGAGAAGCTGAAATCCAGGTACGACAAGCCACGTGAGATTGCTAACCAACATATTAAGCGATTCTTAGCACAGCCAACGCTGACGTCATCCTCTTCACATGGCTTGCGATCACTGCATGACGTGTCAGATGAGGTTATCCGAGCTCTCCAAGCAATGGATAGGGAAGATCGTGACACGTGGCTCCTACTCATTCTCAGCGAAAAGGTGGATCCCGACACGAAACAGCTGTGGTGCCAGAAGATTGCAGAAATGGAAGAAGCTGACATCACTCTGCAGTGCTTCCTGAAGTTCGTCGAATCCCGCAGTTTCACTCTACAGTCAACGTAACCAACGAAGCCGAAAGTCAGCGTGCCTTTCAAGCAACCTTTAAAACCTCAACCCAGAGGTGCTACCGCATTCGTCGCCACGAACCCTCCGTTCTGCAACATGTGCACCAAACAAAACCACCATCTCTACCAATGTGGTAAGTTCATTCACATGAACCATGACGATCGACTCGCTCACGTCAACAAGATGAAGCTGTGCAACAATTGCCTGAAAGTACATCCCGGTGAAAACTGCAAATCAGGTACGTGTAGGAAGTGCAACTTACCTCACCACACCTTGCTACACCCGGTGTCGACATCAGCAAACTTACAACCAGCATCATCATCATCAGTCATAGCTCAGGCTAATCCCGGACCACCAGCACAGTCTTTGATTTCGGCCCTTGATTCACCAACATGCCTCGATGCGTCTAGTGTTCTCCTTGCCACCGTAGCCATCAATGTTTTGGATAGCCATGGGTGCCCACACGCCTGCCGTGCTGTCTTGGATTGTGCATCCCAAGTCAGCTTTATCAGCGGTAGTTTCTGCAAGCAACTCGGCCTCAAAACACTAGCAGCCGACATGGACCTTGAAGGCATTTCTTCTACACCAGCCCACGCTGACAAGTGTGCCGAAATCATCATCTCCTCGCGCTGCACGGATTATCGTACCTCCGTACCTTGCATGGTGTTGGAGAAAATCACTAAAACGCTTCCCTGCAAGCCAGCGAATATCGAAGATTGGCCTATTCCAGGATCAATACATCTGGCCGATCCACTCTTCCATCGCCCGGGTAAGGTAGAAGTTTTACTGGGCATTGAACTTTTCTTTCAGCTGCTCGAGCCTGGCAAAATTGCCCTCAGTCCCGACGACAGCTTACCAACACTACAAAACACCAAGCTCGGCTGGGTAGTTGCAGGCCGTTATCACGAGACAAATACTTCGATTGGATTTCACGCTTCGACCTGCTTATTGACCTCTACCGACGATGATCTCTCTCAGCAGTTGCGAAAGTTTTGGGAACTTGAGGAATACACCACAGCATCCAACCATCTCACCGAAGAAGAGCAACGATGCGAGAAACACTTTGCTGATCACACCGTGCGAGATGAGTCGGGAAAATTCGTTGTCCGTCTCCCGTTTTTGCTCGACCCAAATCAACTAGGCGAGTCGAAGCAAATTGCGGAGAAAAGGCTTCACCACATCGAGAGAAAGCTTGACCGAAACCCACAGCTTAAAAATGAGTACCATGCGTTTATTCGTGAGTATATCGATCTCGATCACATGTCGCTCGTCGATGATACTATCACAGCAAACAAATCGGTTTATCTCCCACACCACTGCGTGGTCAAAACAACAAGTTCGACCACCAAATGTCGAGTCGTTTTCGATGCTTCGGCAAAGACTACAAGTGGTCTCTCATTGAATGACGTGCTCATGTGCGGCCCTGTCGTTCAAGATTCATTGGTCAATATTTTGATCCGATTTCGCTTCCCACCCATCGTTCTTGTTGGTGACGCGAAG